TTTTTTTTTTTGCAGTTGCCATTGTTTTTTGGTGGGCTGGGGCTGGATTTGAACCCACCAGCTCAGGTCTATGTGGCTGGTGCCTTAGCCACTTGAGCCACAGGTGCCGAGCCAATTTTTAATATTTTGAGGATCCCCACCCTGTCTTCCATAATGACTGCAAATTACATTCTCAGCAACAATATGGAAGAATTTCCTTTTCTTCACATCCCCGCCAATACTTGAAGCTTTTTGGATAGTAACCACTCTATCAAGAGTGAAGTGATACCTCATTTGTGGTTTTGATTTGCATTTCCCTGATGACTACTAATGTTGAACTTTTTTAATACATTTTTTACCCGTTTTTTAGTTGCTGTAAGTTCCTTATATATTTTGAGTATTAACCCCTTATCAGATTCATAGTTCACAAATATTTTCTCCCATTCTGTACGTCATTTCTTCATTCTGTTGTTTCCTTTAACGTGCAGAAGCATTTTAGTTCAATGTCTCCCTTTTCAATTTTGGCTTTTGTTACCTGTGATTTTGTGGTCATACCCCACAAATCATTGCCATCGTATGGAGCTTTCACCTATCTTTTCTTCTAGTAGTTTTATAGTTGGGTCTTACCTTTAAGTCTTTAATTGATTGAGTCATCTTTGAATATGGTGAGAGATAAGGGTCTAATTTCATTCTTTCACATGTGTATATCCAGTTTTCCCAGAACCATTTATTGAAGAGACTGTCCTTTCTCTGTTGCTGAGAACCATCTGGCTGTAAATGTGAATTTCTGAGCTCTCTATTTTGTTCCATTGGTCTATGTGTCTGTTATTATGCCTATACCATGCTGTTTTGCTTACTATAGGTTTGTAGTATATTTTGAAGTCAGGTAGTATGGTGCCTCCAGCTCTGTTCTCTCTACTCAAAATTGCTTTCCCTATTTGGGGTCTTTTATGGTTCCCTACACATTATAGGACTTTTTTTTTCTATTTCTGTGAAGAATGTCATTGGTATTTTGATAGAGATTGCATTGAATCTGTAGCTCATTTTAGGTAATATGAACATTTTAATATTTATTCTTCTAATTCACAAGTGTGGGATATATTTCCATTTATTTGTATCTAAAATTTCTTTCATCAATGTTTTATAGTTTTCAGCATAGAAATATTTCATGTCCTTGGTTAGATTTGTGAAGTCTTTTTTATAGATACCATAAATGGAACTTTTAAGATACATTTTCCTATTAATGTATAGGAACACTATTGAGTTTTCTATATTAATTCTACATCCAGAGACTAAAGATTTTTTAGATCTAGGTTTTAGATCTAGATCTAAATCAAACATCAATAGTTGAAGGTTATAGGATTATTTATTAAAGTCATCCTGGGCTTGGCGCCTATAACTCAAGCAGATAGGGTGCCAGCCACATACACTGGAGCTGGTGGGTTTGAACCCAGCCTGGGCCTGCCAAACCATGACAACTATAATAAAAAAAATAGCCAGGCATTGTGGTGGGCACTTGTAGTCCTAGCTACTTGGGAGGCTGAGGCAAGAAAACTGCTTGAGCCAGGGGTCCTCAAACTTTTTAAACAGGGGGCCAGTTCACTGTCCCTCAGACCATTGGAGGGCCGGACTGCAGGCCCCAGGACCAGTTGGCTGCTAAGCAGCACAGGCAGCGGCGGCAAATACACCTGGCAGGCCAGATAAATGTCCTAGGCCGGCTGCATGTGGCTTGCAGGCCATAGTTTGAGGACGCCTGGCTTGAGCCCTAGAGTTTGAGGTTGCTGTGAGCTGTGACGCCATGGTACTCTACCCAGGCTGACATAGTGAGACTGTCTCAGAAAAAAAAACAAAAACAAAAACAAAACTCATCCTGTATATATCCTGGGCCTTTCAAGTCTGTAGGATTATTTATTAAAGTCATCCTGTACATCGTAGGCCTTTCTTTGATGGGAGACTTTTTACTCCCATTCAATTCCTTACTATTCTGCTCGAATTCTTTTATTGTTTTCTTTCTCTATTTCTTTATACTTCAATCTTGGTAGGTAGTAGGTTGCATGTATCCAGGAATTTATCCACTTCCCCTATGTTATCCAATTTATTGGTGTAAAATTGTTCATAAATCTTATGATCTTTTGTATTTCTGTGGTTTCAGTTGTAACATCTTTTTCATCCAATTTTTAGTCTCTTTTTTTCAAAGTCTAGCTAAAGATTTGTCAAGGTTTTTTTTTTTTTTTTTAAACCCTCTTTGTTTTGTTGATCTTTTGTAGTGTTTTTCTAGTCTATTTCTATTTCTTCACTGATCTTTACTTCCTTCTGTGTTTGGGTTGAGTTTATTCTTGTTCTTCTGGCTCTTTGAGGTACAACTGTGCTCCACTTTTATTGGCCAGATCTGTAACTAGCCGATACTTGAGTGGTTATCACATGCCAGAAGATATTAGACCACCTAAAAGCAGTGTACATCTATCATGGTTACCCTTCCTATAAAAGGCAGGAATTAATGTTACTTGAGTGTACAGAAAGTGCAGTACACACACTAGAGATTATTTATTTGGAATTAGAGTTAGTTCGTAGGATTTAAACCCCGGTGGACTAGATCCAGGAAGTACACTCATATGTTTTCCTCCACCATTTTTATAGATTGTCTGCATAACTAACAAAGGCAGGAAAATTAGTCTCATTTTAACATAGCCTATCTGAGAGCTAGAAATAAGTACCCCTTTATCCATAGTTAAATCAAAATAATAAAAATTAGAACTGCTCAAAGCATTTAAAGATTTCTTTTAAATATCAATTTCATCTTATTTAACACTGAGCACCCACTAACATCCAAATTCTGTTATTAGTCACTAGAGCTAAAAAAAACCTGATCACATATTCTCCTTTTTTAAGACAGAGTCTCACTCTGTCACCCTGGGTAGAGTGTTGTGGTGTTAAAGCTCACAGCAACCTCAAACTCCTAGGCTCAAGGGATCCCCCTGCCTTAGCCTCCTGAGTAGCGAGGACTACACGCACCTACCTGGGTAGTTTTTCTATGTTTAGTAGAGCTCAGGTCTCACTCTTGCTTAGGCTGGTCTCAAACTACTGAGCTCAAGCAATCCATCTGCCCCAGCCTCTCAGAGTGCTAGGATTACAGGCATGAGCCACCATGCTTGACCTTACATGCTCTCTTGTTTGATAAAGTCACAGAGGCAGTGACTCAGTTTGTCTGCTAAGGGTTAGGAGAAAGAAAAAGACCAGATGGACATGTGATAAGACAGGCACGTGATAAAAAAAAAAAAAAAAACCGTGTTCTCTGTGTTTCTCCTCTATTTTGCTTTCTCATTACTTAAAAGCAGCAAAACAGTCTTTCTTTTCTTCAAATGAGACTATTTAGAAATAGTATTCAGAAATAGTATTCACAAATAGTATTCTTCTCTAGGCAAACTATCCTTTTCAAAACAGATCAAGAACTCCAGGAAGCAGGGCCACCCTGACTCTGCAGAGCAGGCACCCCCGGGAACCAATAACCCTGGAGGCAGCTAGGCAGCCAAGGCTACAGCAGTCATTTCATGCTCTTCTTCATAAAACAACAAGTGTGAGTGGCTCACACCTGTAATCCCAGCATTCTGGGAAACCGAGGTGGGAGGATCACCTGAGCTCGGGGGTTCAAGACCAGGCTGAGTAAGAATGAGACCCTGTCTCTACTAAAAAAAGAAAAGCTAGCCAGGTGTTGTGGCAGGTGCCTGTATTCCCAGCTACTCAGGAGGCTGAAGAAAAATGATCACTTGAGCCCACGAGTTTGAAGTTGCTGTAAGCTAGGCCAACACCACAGCACTGTAGCCCAGGCAATAGAGTCAGACTGTCTCAAAAAACAAACAATTAAGTCATAATCAATCTCAAAGCCAATGTTTACACAGAAAACAGATGTTACCTATAATACTTATGGTCATCTTACTGTTTGGAATGTCCCCATTTCCCAATCCTTCAGAACAGCCCAGAGGGGTGGCTTAGTGGAAGTTGTCCCCATAGAAGCAATCTCCAAAAGCAGTTTAAATTACTGAAGAGAATGGTTAGGCAACCTACACTGAGATTTTCCAGTAAAATCGCTTGGTTTCTAGCAAGGTGAGTGAATGAGGAACCTGGAAACAGGGTTATGGCTTTGCTTTCAATCAGTGCAGCACAAGGTTTACATTTACCTTCTACTGGGTCTTCATCCTGATTTCCAGCAAGAACTGTAGTCTCCTACAACAACAACAGCACCATTTTAAGGAAAAAAATTACCTACAAGTTTAATAATATACAGTTTATTGGGAAAAACTCTAGCTCTCAAAAAAATTAAAAATAATTTCTAAGACAATAGCTCTTTTTGATTAAAAGAATCTTCAGGGAGGGTGATGGGTGGGATCATGCCTATGGTTCATCCTATAAGGGTACATGTGAATCTCTCTAAATGTAGAATATAAATGTCTTAACACAATAACTAAGAAAAAGACATGAAGGCTATGTTAACCAGTTAGATGAAAGTATTTCAAATTTTATATAGACACTGTATCCCAGGATAGTATTAATGTACACAGCTATGATTTAATAAAAAAAAAAAGAATCTTCAGATGATATTATACCACAGTTATGAAATAAATGAACTGAGTCAACAGAAGAAAAGTCACAAAGAAGGAACTGCCCTGAGAAAGGCCTCTGGCCTCTCTGAAGATTCCTGGAACTGGTATCCCCGGGCCCAAGAAAATGAGACTCCTCATTTCTTGCCCTAGAAGTCTACCTCTCTACCTAGAGTTCCCCCTTTCCTTCCGGAAGACAATCTACAGTCTCCAAGAACACATTTTCCTCATGGCCTTCTAATTGTGTCTGCAAACCCATGGCTTAGCTAAGGACCAGGACATTAGGTCCCGCAGGAAATGCAGAGCCTACAGAAAAGCAAACCAACTGATCCTATTCTTACAGAAGAAAGATGTGAATTCCAGAAGTACTACCAAAATGAAATCTGGTTGGTTAACCCCGACTCCACCAGGTCTCCTGGGGCAGCATACATTTTTATAACTCCTTTCCATATACACCTGCTGGGAACCTGCCTTAAGTATGCACAGATGTTTAAGGACACTCCTGGCACCAGTGAACTTAATGAAGCCTCCCTTGCTAATAAGAATGAGATGGTATTGAGAGCCAAAGACCCACTATCTGTTATTTTCAGCCTATCTGAAAGTACGTCTTTCCTTCACTCTGAAATACATCATGGTTTGGAAAATAAACTATAGTTACCATAAATTTAATCCTACTGTCTGTGTCTTTTATCTGTTTACCAATGTCTAGGACAGCCAGAACCTGTGCTTAAGGAAGGCCTGTCCCATAACACAATGTCCAAATAAACTCACATCTCTTCCTTTTCAACGTGTACTCTAGTAAATGTAAGTGACCAGGGAAGGGAAAGCAGAAGCTATCTGGAGACAGAGCATGCTCTCTGTCTGAGGGCCACCTGGGCAGTGTATGCAGCTGGCTGTCCTTAAAGGAAGGCACATCTATAAAACATTTGCCTCTCCTGGAAGCAGTATGGGAAAGCTGTGCTGATGGATCAAAAGACCTGAAAATCACTTTTAAGACATCCACTTCCTCTAATCTTAAGCAAGTTATAATGTCAAAATGTAACAGAGGGGATTCTTGGGGGCATCTAACTCCTTATTCTTGGGGAAATAAGGGACAGGGGCATGGCACATTGGGGGAAGCAGGAAGTAAATTAACACGTCCTCTTGACACATTTTATTAATGACACCAAAATGAGGATATGTGAGTGAAAGATCTACTACGGACTTCTACCATTTTTAATTTTGCTGAGCAACTTAAAAACAGGAAACACCCACCAGGATGGCAGCCAGATGGCACAGCATGGTCACCACATGGTCACCACATTTATAATTCTAGAGTTAAAAATGTATTCTATAGTAACAATTTGACTAGAGAGTGAGATAAAAATTCCGGAATGTGAAAACAAAAATGGGACAGAGAAATGGAAAGAAGGGGTGTTTGGGAAAAAAAAAAAAAAAAAAAAAGAGTGTTAATGTCTTAATTTTCTCATGAGTGACAGGAAATCAAGATATACTTTCATTTCAGAAGTTGATATTATACTCATACCTGTACTTCTTTAAAGATAAAAGGTAAATGCCAGAAGACAAATAGACCACTTTCAAAAAAAAAAAAAGAAAGAAAGAAAAGGGGGGGTGTGTGAAAGGAAAAAAAGTGTGCTAAAACCTCAGGCAATACAGCACAAGGTTTTTTATAAGTGGTGCAATATCAAACATTCACTAAAATGGAAAAACCCAAATTGGGCTAAAAGGAAGAACAAAAAGACAAATCTAACAAGATGTTTTAGGCAAGAAGAACACCTAAAACAGACTTAAAATGTTGAAAATGAGGCCAGGCACAATGGCTCGCACCTGTAATCCCAGCAAACTGGCAGGCTGAGGCAGGAAGACTGCTTGAAGTCAGGAGTTCAAGACCAGACTGAGCACAAGGGAGACCCCCCCCCCATCTCTACTAATAATAAAACAATTAACTGGGAGTTATGGCACCCACCTGTGGTCCCAGCTACTTGGTAGGCTGAGGCAGGAGGATTACTTGAACCCAGGAGTTTGAGGTGGCTGTGAGCTATGATGAGGCTACTGTGTTCTATGCAGGCAACAGAGTGAGACTCTGTTTCCAAAAAAAAATTGAAAATGAAAGTTTGAGCAACAAAATATTAAACAATTCCAAGTTTTCAAGACCAAGTTGGGTGCAGTGGTTCATGCCTATGATCCCAGCACTATGGGAGGCCAAAGTGGAAGGATCACTTGAGGCCAGGAGTTTGAGACCAGTGTGAGCAATACTGCAAGACCCCATCTCTAAAAGAGTAAAAATACAGGTACAATGGCTCACACCTGTAGTCCTAGCACTCT